AATTAGCCCAAAGAAATAGAGATCCAGCAGTTTTATTTCCCCTTTCAATATAACCTCCGAGTCCACCATTAAGGTCACAAGAATAAAGGAAAAGATCACTAACTGAAGAGGCTCATGATTGCTAAAAACATTCCCCTGTTAAAGCCTTAGGAAATGTATCAAGAACTGCTTGGAGAAAATGTAGACTGATTTCTGGGTGTGAGGGTTGATGTCAAATCACTAGCATTACTTTTGAGATTTTTCTTGCAAATTGATCAAAGAATAGGTAGATTCATTTCAGCAATCCTTACCACGAAAACAAAGATAGGCTAAAGCTGATGACTCGTTTTTAATCATTAGCAATAACGCATGACTTTTGACATAAAAGTTAGGTCTCAAAAGTCACAAGTCATTGCTATTCCTATTTATATCCTGACTTCGTAATCTTAATACAAAGTTAAACCCAGCCGCGAGGGATCTATCTGTTTTCAAGACACTGCACTCAGCTGAGATTTATGCAGTTTCTCTCTTTTTCCTTGTACACCGTGGTGTACACGTTACACTGAACATTCAGGTGCGAAATATTTTATGTAAGGTAAAAGTTTTTTTAAAGCTTTTGCAATTTTCTTACAAGTATTGATTAAATTATGTCTGCCTTTCCCCTCTATGTAAACAGATTAAATAAAAAAATGCCGAGACTACAGAATTTCCTCTAAATAAACCCTCAGGGTTTATGCATATCCTGGTAAATTTGTTCAGGTTCATAAGGAAGTTAAGCTGTGCTTTTACTCCCATTAGACTCCGTTTTCTACTTTCGAGTCGGGCATAAGAAAAATACAATTAGCCAGGGAATCCTGCGAAGTTTATTTCTGTACAACTCTTAGTGTTCCTAGATTATTAAAATACTTTGTAATGACTTCTTTTTTGGAAGTCTTAGCTCTGCCCTAGTGAATTACAAGCATTGGAAAAAAGGCTGATTTTTATAGACAGATCTATCCAGTTCTATGCTATATCGCGCATTGCAAAACTTCTGACGCTACAAGATGCCTTTAAAATGCTATTTACAACTTGCGTCTACTCATACTAGCTAGTATTTATACACACAACATGTTCGTGATGTTGTTTTGTTTTTAAAGGAACTGTCAAGCTGACAATTTCAGCACAATCAAGAAAAGTGCCATCTCATTTTCCAATTAAATCGTCATGAAAATTGTCATAACGTCCTTTATATTGCGAACATGACGTAACAAGCTGTATCGTGTCTCTTTGAGAATCTTATCAGTTACTGCAATTACCTCAGATTCTGAATCAATCGAAGAGCGATTCAATTTCATTAATCTCGCTGGTTTCGAAAAAAAATGGGAAACTGGTTGAAATATGTTTAAACGATTTATTTTCTTATTCTGCGCCTGCAAACCGATATGACAATTTGAAATAGTGTAGCAGGAATTTAAAAAGTGTTTCCGTCACTTTCAAGTTATATTTCCATCAGTAGGTTCATATTATGACACGCCTTGGTCGGCAACTGATAAAGACCACAAGTAAACACGGTCAATAATAACTGTTGAGGAAAAGGAGAAAACGAGTGAGCTAAACAACTCTTGTCCTGTATTCTTTGAGAATCGCCTTTCGCCATGTCTTACTATTTACTATGCCGAATGATGTTTATTATTGTCTAGGATTTCACTGATACAGATTTTTCCTCTTGTTTTCTTTTTATTTCTTTTCTTTTCTAAAGTTTTTTTTCCTTCTTAATTTCATTAGCAACCAACCTCTTCTAATTATTTCATGTACTAAGGAGATTTGTTAATGCAAAAATTCTAGAATGTCACTAGCATAGACGTTCTACTATATTAAAAAACGCTTACTTTAAAAGTAAGACTGCGTAAAATCCTTGAAGTTCATTTACCTTAGAATTAATGTAAAATCTTTATTTCTTTGAAGTTTTCGCTTTGCATTCAGTCTGTAGCACAATAGTGCGAATCACAAGCAAGTGGTTGAAAAAACTTGTAGGTGAAGTAGGATCCGCAGTTTTTAACGGAAATATCATTTGACTGTTTGCAGTTAGCAGAGCGATCACTAAAGCAGACAATCCTGTTAACTTAACTATCTTCCACTTTAGGATGAGCAGTCTTTAACCAGCTTGACCAATTACTTCTACATCTGTATGCTGACACGTTGTTGGCATTTTTGTTCCTGCAGCTCCCACGAAACAATACTACCCCTCAGGGAGGGAATTGTCACCCACCTCTTGATACTGGGGTGTTTCGTTATTGGTCTCTATCGGCATCACTCAGGCTTTTGTAATTATAACACGGACCAGCTAAAAAGTAAAATGATAATCATGAGAGGACTGCAATCATTACGTATGATCAATGCAACACGTTTTCCGCAGTAACGTTCTTTAAGTATAGAAGTTTACCATTCTGTACAAAAAAAAAACAATTATGCAATACGCCACACGTAAACTAGCTCTTGTAAGGAAAGTTTACTCGAAGTTTTTCGATAGCAGGATATCCAAATTCGCGTTTTCTAAGAGCGCATTGAAAAAAAGAGGTAAATTTAAGGTACACCTAGTGTGATGACAAACTACCTTCATTTGGCCAAAAATGGCCCCCTGAACGGCAATGATTTAGACCAAGTCTATCCTTGACAAATTGACAGTCATGGAAAAAGTAAAACGCAGCTTCACAATTAAAACCATCACCGACGTAATTAGGGTTACAAGGGCAATTATATGAACTCTACGTGTTAATACAAAAGGCATTCGACAACAAAAAAAAAAATACATGTTATCAGGTTCAAAAAAAGATTCCAAAGTTTTTAACTCTATTGACTGTACCTGCACAATCCCGTCCATCTTCGACATATCCAGGTTTGCATGTGCACACGTATGATCCGTGTGTGCTATTACACGCAGCGTTCACGTAGCAGAGAAAATCAACAAATAAGTTGACGAAAAGAGGAGAAGCAGAATAAAAGAGAAAATACTGCCAGTGTTTTGCTATAAAAAGATGTTAGATGCAAACGTTCAAGATGTGGACAAAAAAAAACCAAACAAACAAACAAACAAACCCAAACAAGCAAAGGGAACAAAACGAAACAAAAGCAGGTGGACAAACAGCAAATCAAACAATACAGTTTATTTTAAAAATGAGAAACATCAAATGCGAAAAATCTAATGCTTCTTAACCAACTTACAGAATATTCTCATACCTGCATTGAAATCATAGATTATTTTCTGTTATGTCTTGTGCTATTCAAAACCTATTCAAAACCTACCCTTTTAGGTAGTAAGCCAACATGCAATAGAGAATAATACATGGGCGTGGGTAAATATGGAATTTGTCTTCAAGTGTTTAGCTCGATAGCTCACGAGTGAGCACGGCGAACGAATCAGATGTCGAGTCAGACATCTACAAGCAACCATGTATTATTTTGTTTATCATAAAAACACAATAGCCCTTTACTGACAAGAAAAGTCAACTTTATCAATGAATGATAATTAAAGGATAGACAATCCCCAAATAAAAATCGTAAAGTGCGTTGGCCATAAAACTCAAGATGAAAAAAATTCGTTGAAACATTACAAAAACAAACAACGGACGTAATTTTAAACAAACAAAATTCTCAGGTATTGACTTGGTCCTACCTGACATAAGAAATAATTCAGGTGAACGGCCAAAATCGACCTGTGGCAAATCTTCCAGTTGTCGATTGTTGTTATCAGCCGCGAGAAATGCCTTTTTATACGAAGTTTTCGGTTTTTCTTTACGTATTTTGGTTCCCTTCTCCCTCTAGGAAAGCCAAATGGCGATATGAAACAAACGTTAAAAAATTACATTATTTTTCCCTTGTGTTGTCACGGCTTTTCTCAGGATTAGAAATCCTTGTCTAACACCGTAGTTTATGTGATAAAGTAAGATTACACGCATACGAGTCCAGGGATAGAAAATGATAATCAGTTTGCAACTCACCTCCATCAAACGCCATGGATCCTATAAATGCAGCCTAGAATGAGAACGCGAAAAGCACAAACTTTTCCATGCTTCCTTAGAAAAAGCAGACCTGGATTTGCATGTTTTCTGCTCACCACAAAGCTGGAGTCAAATAACAGCTTTTAATATCAGATGAAACATTACAAACCGACCCGTTTATATAAAAGATCATGAGTTAACAGTCGCCAATTTGATTCATACTTAATGTTGATTCAATAACATGCATTCCACTATATGTGAACAAAAACCTCTCAGACGTTTTCCATTTTACTTTGGGGGCACTGTTCGTTGTTAACAAAAAAAAGGAGACGCAAGGGATTTTTTAAATTTTATTTCGATTTGTCATAGCATGAAGTTCGATTCTCTTATTAATACAATCGGTGGAGTGCGCTTTAGACAATGTCACTATGAGAAAATTCTTGAAAAGTATAATAAATGGCAGGTGAACATACCCAAAGAAAGTAGTGACTTAGACGGTCATGTTTTTTTGAAATTCCAACTCGAAGGTAAGACACCCTAAAAGTTCAGCGCATTTTTTTCGGCATGGGCCAGATTCTGGGCTTTAGCAAATGAACGAAAGAGTGGGTGCTAAAAAGACGGTGGGTGTCAGTCAGACAAACCGAAAAGGGAAAAAATATGAAGGGAGGAGAATTTGCAATCCTCTCCCCGGTGATTTCATTTCGACGTCAACTTGTCAAAAACGCGCTAGTCTTCATCCTTAATTTTTATTCAGTATGCTGGGCACGCACTAAGGGGAACTGAAGCTCCCTCCTACAACTGTCACGTTTAAAAAAAGTCTCATACGTTGCGCTGGGACATACGCTCACATGTAAATGCTAATCATTGGACCAGTTAATGTTTTCCATGTTTGTTTTTATTGTGAACCTCTCAATTTGTATACGTTCCGTCTCTTTTGATTGGCTAGCACTGACTAGGTAATTGAGTTTCCTTGGCTGTTAGTTTAAGTACCTATTTACCCTCTGGCTCATTGACGTATCTTCTCATTTTGTGAGCTTTTTTGCTTCACATTTCGTCTGTCCCGCAGAAGCGATTTGGACAATCTTTTGGCGCAAGAAGTTTGTATATGTAATATAATCCACAGTTTTTCACAAAAATTGACCATTTTTTCCTACAACCAGTAGAGCGATCACTAAAGCAGACCATCCTGTTAACTTCACCATCTTCAATTGTGGGATGAGCAGTCGTCAACCAGCCTGACCAGTTTGTGCCACATCTGAATGCTGGCACACGCTTTGTTGGCATTTTTGTTCCTGCAGCTCCCACAAAACGATACCATCCCTCAGCGAGTTGGCTGTCACAAAACGTTTGTCCAGATGCTATCGTTATGTAGTTTTCGTTTCGATTGGCGTCACTCAGGTTTGAGTAATGATGACAGGGATCGGCTAGAAAGGAAAATAATAATTTTAAGAGAATAACAGTTATTATAGAATCAATTATAACATACATTTTTCCACATTCATGTAATTCCAGCAGTTTACCAACCAGCAGTAGACCTTGCATTTCACGAGAATGATAATAACTATTTCTCATATGGCTTTGGTTTGTTGCCGATATAGCGTACGCTCTGAATGGCCAAGAGCGAGATCAAAGCAGGGCATTATACAATGGTAATGCCCACGGGCAACACCATGGAAATGATAAAGGCCGACTAAAAGTCTAAGGAGTATATTCGATTATAAGTATTTAAAAGCTGTGAAAAACAGCGAATGTACAGTTTTAAGTTACTTTCGAGATGATGGACGAGGTAAACAAACCAGAATATATTTGATCTCACATCTAATATATGAAACCGTCAAAACTCGCAGTGAAAGCCATAGCGAATACTGAAATATTCTGAGCAGTGTATTCCGAAACATTTGTATTTTGTTTTCCCAAAGGGCAGTACGAGTTTGTACTATATTGAAGCAGTTTTCTGTCTTTTTTTTAATGCTTTCCAGCTGACCATTTCCAATTGTCTTGAAAGTCCGACAAATTTTCTCTTATCGTGTTCTATCGCCTCTATATTGATGTACTTTTTTTAAAGGCTGTAAATGAATCGTTTTTCCGGAAAATAAATGTGTTCTTGACGGTATAAGTAATACACTGATGTAGTTTACTGATTTATTTAGCTTCACCTAAGGTTTAATTTGAGTCGACGAATGCATGGGTAAATTCGCGCATCGCCGGATGGAAGTCGACGACTTTCGCTTGAATAAATTTGTCGTTTCTTTAATTGAGAAGCCATATATGTAAATTATGTGCAAGTAAAAGTTTACTTCTTTTGAGAAAAGCAACCTCTTAATCTAAGTCCCTTCTTTATCAACAGCGTATCGAATGATAGTTGAAGGCAAATACGCGACTTTCTTTTTACTGCTCAAGTTTACGTTGGGATTGGCAAACTCTGTACCAGGTTCCCAAAAGGGCGCCTTGTTCAATGCAGCCTCCATCTTTGTTGTTGTAGAGTCTCGAAAGTATCCTGAAAGTTACGCAGGTTTAAAGAAACTCTCTTATTTACCTCTCAGAATAAATGTCCGATACTGCCTGCTTTCTTCTTCTTGGCTCAATTTTTATGGGAAAAAAAGTGTAGATTTACTCAGAAATAAACGTGGAAGAGACCAATTGAGGTGCACGCTCAAAGTCATTTTCGGTGTCACCAGATAGACACATGCTATCAGAAGCTATTCATTAACTGCAAGGTAAAATGACCAAGGGATATCTCTATATTCAAAGAAATGCTATCCTTGGTTTTCAGAAGAAAAAACGAACGAATTTCTTACGTTTACACTTCTTGCGATAGATTCACCACGCACTAATCGTTGTTTACATGACTTTACGGCCATATTCTTGCGTAGCGTTGCGCTAAAAATCGTGAAAGATGAATAATTGAAAGAAAAAATCTCCGATCGAATAATACCTTAGGCACATATCAACACTGAAATAATATTTACTGGTCTAAAGAATAGCCCGACTCTCGCCAAGCATCACTTGAAGTTGACAAGTTGTGTTTTGCAGCCAAAACCCCTATCGCTTTTGAAATTGCATTTTTCGATATCCAAAAGCTAATTCTGTCGCTTTTAAGTCTTTGTAAATCTCTATCACTTGCCGAATTGAGTATTCTTCGGCATATTCAGTTTTCATTTGGCCTCAAACAGACTATCTTGATCGGAATGGAGTGGAAGGTCAAGGAAACATTGACTGGCAACTTGTTCGCCGGTAGTCCTACACGAACTTACCAAACAGTTTCGGCCGGCCACGAATTCTAAAAAAAATATTTTTCTTTAAATTGTGTTCATTTTGAGATGCCTACGGTCATTTTTATTTTCCCATACCACACAGATCCATGATCTTCTCGGCCCATCATGGGCTCATCACGGAAAGGGACAAAGTTTACAAACATACAACTTTAAAAGCATTTGAACTCTTCAACTCCCTGAGAGACCTGGTGCTGGGTTGCCAAATCACAGCGTTCATTTGCACGCAGTATGAGCAAAGTCGCGTATCAAAGATACTGCTAACATAGTTTACATAATTATGACAGATTTAAAAATATGACTGAAATGAATTAAAAGTCTATCCAATGCAAACTCTAGAAAGATGAAAGACATGGCAGAAAATAAATGTAGCTTTACAGTTAAAACCATCCAGTTAAAAAGTTTTTAAGAAACCAAGCGTACCTTTGCATTCAAAACCACTTCCCATGTATGTGGGTTTACAAGAGCAGTTGTATGAGCCCTGAGTATTAATACAAGAGGCATTCGGATGACATTTGATCATTTTCGAAGGATAAGTCTCACTGCATTCGTCGATGTCTGAAAGATAATGTGCATACTTTGTCAAGATCAAGCTGAAATAAATGTCATTACAAGATAAAATAAACGATATTAGTGTCACGATAATCTTCTGTAACCTTTTAACACCAGTACTGATTATGAAATTACTAGAATGTTCCCCTAAAAACATGGAACTAAAATGGACTAGTTATCGATTCAAATAGTTGTATAATGAAAATACTTTCAAGCCCTAATTAAATTATCACCTTCAGTTGAAATAATTGCACTTTGTTAAGGATTGCAAAGTTTTGAAATACATTATTGTTTACTCTCAAAAGTCTTCTGAGAAGGCAACATTGCAGAATTCTATGACGCTGGTGTATACAGAGTCACCCGCGAATTTTGAACGTCGACTTCGGACTAGTTTAGAGGGGACAGATACGTCATCCCTCGCCCACGCGAAGTACGAATGGGGAAGGTTGAAAATAAGGAATATAGCGATTGTAAATACAGATAAATGAAACTCGAAGTCGCAAAATTTAACCCTCGTAGTCTTTCAACGCCAATTTTTGTTACAAAAAAACAAGATTTTGTACAAAAAAAAGATCTATGACAACCTGAAACGATAAAGCGTCAGCCATCATTATAGTACGAAACAAAAAAATACATTTTCAAGCTCTTATTATGGAGCGTACATATTAATTACATTTAAGGTTTTTTTTTTTTGTTGTTTTTTGTTTTTTTTGTTTTCTCATTTTGGTAACAAGAGCTTGTTATTTCTGAACTCTCCTTGCAGTTACTCCATTGAGCAATCAACATACATATGAACTCCTCTTATGTGAATCAAATTCACCTGTGCAATTTTGCCCATTTCCAGTATATCCAGGCTGACAATCGCACACATGTGATCCAAAGGTGTTGGTGCAGTTTGCATTCTCGTGACAGGAATGGTTTCCTTTACACTCGTCAACGTCTATAAATTAACAGATAGAAAAGAGGGTATCAAAATTATGCAAAACTTGTCGCGCAGAAGCCAGCACCGTGTTAAACGGTGCAACCCATGGCTGTCTTCAACCTTTTGCTGGCTTCTGATCGAGAACGCGAGATTGTCGTACATGAAGAAAACTAGTTGTCTATGTAAAAAGCTATAGCTTTTTAACATTTAGTCTCAGGCAAGCAGGCAAGCAAAAAACCAAAACAAAAGAAAACGAAAATATACAAACGAGCGAGCGAAGAAAACAATACACACGCTCGATAAACTATAGTAAAAAAAAAAATTATGTTGGGAGGATTCAGCGCCTAATACTTTGAGACAAATTCACGTCACTTTCAGCAACTAAAGAACAGTTGTCATACCAGCATTGAAAATCAGAAAAAAATCTCACATACGTTCATTTCAAGTGTTAACTTAGACTCCTACCCTTTTCACACTGTTCTCCCTCGAATCCAGGAGGACACAAGCATCGATATCCCTTGAGTGTAAATCCAGACTGGCAAGTTGCATTATTTTCGCAGTTGGGACTCTTGTCACAAGCGTTCTAAACAAGAAGTAAAATGAAGATGAAAGAAGAAACGAAATACCGAATGATCGAATACACGAAAATTTGCATAAACATTAATTATTGTTATTATATTATTCAAAAGCGACAATTTCGAAAAATCGATTTGTAACTCACCCTCGACCCACGATAATAAAAATTGCCATCAGTTGTCAAGTCACTGTCGTATTTCAGATGAGTGGCGTTATTTAGTTCACAGATGTGAAGTGGTTCCTTATCCTCTGGATCTTTTTTGAAATTAAGACTGACACATCCGTCGTTCAGGAAGCACATTAGCTCACAGTCATCCAAGTTATTGACACGTTTCTTTTCAATGGTGTGGTTTACCAAATATCTTTCAGCAAAGAAGTAGTAGTCCGGAAACACCATTGCTCGCTCTCGCTCTAAAATAGACAAATTGAAATATGATTATAAGGCAAACTTTTTCGTCACAAAAAAATTAAATTTCGAATAAAAAGTTCTAAGAACAAATCTCTTAGCAAAAATTCTCGGATCTCAGCAAACTATGGTAGCAAATGTCACACAAAGCAGTCCGTGAGAAGAACGATGATTCGTTAAATGTAATGAAAAACTTTGTAAATTGCTTCGCCGTTTTCTACAATTAAACAATAACATAAAACCATCTTTATTTGAGAGTTTGGGGTTTCTGAGGTGCGGAACCTTTACGGCAAATATTTCGTGTTTCACATGAATTTGGCGATTCAAGAAGCTCGTAGGATTTTAGATCAGTCTATCATATCGATTGAAAAGACGAGCTCACCAAACACTCTGTGAAATTCCTACTACAGAGGGAATAATTGGTGTTTGCATTTTTTGATGTAGCTGTCATCAGTGTGATGAACACAGTTCAAATGCTCTTATAGGGAACCTTTAATACCTCAAAAACTTTGACCGGGGATGGTCTTCTAGTGCTTTTTTTTTACAATTTGGTTTTGCACTGTATATAAACAGCTTGACTATTGAGTGTTTATCAAAGAAATGTATAACTGAAGAGCTCCCCTGCGGCTCTTTTCTTCGAACGATTATCGTGAACAGAGGTAATTCATGCAAAATTAAGCTGAGAAAAGCCATTCTTGTTTTGCGTCAATGAGCAGATTTGTATTCATTTTCGAAAGTTTTCTAAAGGTGCAAATGTATAATGAAGTATTTTTTTTAATTTTGCAAGCCAATGTAAGTTGTTTAAATTGCTTAGCTATGGTGCATATAATAATCGCTTTATTTCCGTCATTTGTTTTCTCAAAACAACTCATTTATCTGTTTATCGTTTTAATTCATTAATTTTATTTTCTCGTGTCATATAAAGTCCACCCTCATCATTTTTCTGCTGTTGAAAAAATATTGACCATAGCAACAGAGTCTTAAAACTGATTATGAAAGGGCACAAAATTGGAAAATTGCACGAAGCTTCTGTGCAAAGGTTTTGTTAAGGATCATCTCAATTGAGCTATTTGTTCTTTGGCAAGTTTTAAAGCCTCCCATTCGAAAAGCAATATTTAAAAGGATTTTGCGTCAATGGTTAAATTATAAGGAGACCGGCTACCCTCTTTTTATAGACAGATGTTTAAAACCAGTACAAATTGGTCTATTCCAAATGCCAGCATTGTTCCTCTATAAAAATAACTTCGCGTAAGTTGGCTAAGAGCGGCCAATTTTTTTTTTCCATGCAAATTATGGAATTCCCGTCTGCAACACAATAACGAAATGTTTTTGATAGAATTTATTACCCGTTCATGTAAAAATGAGCTGAGCGTTAGGATTGAATTGGTTTTATATGCAGCAATTCTTCATCGTAGCAGTTCTTAGTTTTTTTGTAGCAACTGCAGATTTCCGATATGGTCCATCATAATAACGCACCTTTGTTAAATACTACTAATATCTTCAAAAGAAGTTTACAATACTGAGGTTCCTTCCTTTAAAATTCATGTTTATTGAGTTTAGGAGTTTAGATTTTTTTTTAAAACGACACTTTATAAGCTCAGTGCATCCACTTTTGTGAATCAGCGAAATAGAAATAAAGAGTGATGGAAAACAAGATAGCTCGGGCTAAAGTATGAATATAGGGATAGAAAATGATTCGCAGTTTGCTACTCACCTTTACCAAACGTCAAGTGAGTCATCGATGAAGTCCAGACTGCGAATATTAGAAACGCTGAAAATTCCATGCTTCTTCAAGACAACGGAGCTCAATATTGATGTTTTCAATATGCTGCAAATTCGTGTCGACCACCTGCATTGAATAATGGTTAAGTAATAGAAACCACCTTTTTGTTATTAAAAATGGGGTGTTAACAAATGGAACAGATGTCAGTCCTGCCCCTTGTAAAGTTATTGATGCAAATAATATAAGTGGGTATGCGTTTTAAATTCTGCGAATGATCACCATTTCAATGAATTCCTTTGTACCAGTTAGAAACACTTTGGTTTTGAAGGGCTACGATTCCACAAGTGTTCATCAACAGATTAGAAAAAGGGATTTTGTCACACAAATGTCCATAACATTAACTTCAATTGCTTCATAATTACAGTCAAAGGGGTGCGTTTAAGACGATAACATTATAAACATATTCTTATGAACATTATAGATCCATAGATTCAGTTTTTTTTCTTTCTTTTCCTTTTTTTGTTTTTGTTGTTGTTGTTGTTGTTGTTGTATTTTTTTTTCATCCTCAGGGGAAAAGTCCTTGCAAGATTGATTGAAGAAACGAAAAGAAAATTTTCACAAAAACATGGCAATCGGTGTGAAGGTCCAGACGAGTTGGCGTAAACTTATCCCCCTAAAAAAGACAGTAGCCCTGCACTCGCACAGTTCGCTTTCATTTTCCAAAAACATGAATTCTTAATTTGGACTATATCTTGAAATAAATCAGAAGTTATAAATAAGCCACGTTCTTTGATGGATTGTGAGTCTCTTGTTTAAATTCGACGAAATGAACGAGGGAAATAGTGTTTGTACTTGTTAAGCTGTGCCACCCACTTTACATCGCGCAAAATATTTTTTCGTCTGGCCCTTCCAGTAACTCGAAATAATACAGGAACACAATAATTTAAAGATGTTTTTCCTATTTGAAGTCCCAAGGAATTATTCATTTTATCTTCCCTCGCATTCATTAAGGTCAAGATTAATTAATGATGAGTTCTAATAAGCTCTTTAGTTTGAAGAAACAGAAAATCTCCCCTAGAACTACTTAAATTCTATAAATTTGCCGAGCAACTTACATAATAAGATTGCATAAAGAGTGCCAAGGCAGAACCCCTCAGATATCTCATAATGATTGAGCACAATCCAGTGTAGACAGCTGCTATACTTAATCCAGAGCTTTGGTGAGACGATGCTCTGAATGTTGTTCTAAGCGTCTCCTCCATCTCAAGGATAATAGCAAATTGATATTTGGAAAAGGTGTGTTGTAATTTATGATTTGATTAAGCCAAACTATCCAGTATCGGATCTGGCCTCCAAGGCCTTCATTGGAAGACCTTTTAAATTATAAAACATTTTCAGGTTTTCCTCCGCTTGATAAAATTGCTGCAGACTTAGGTTAAAGAGATCTGTGAGCCAACATTTTGTTCCTGACTCATTTTCTGATTGGGAAACATGCAAATCAACTTCCATACTTTTCAAGGTTCTTCTATTTCAAAATCATCACTTCTGCCATAATATGAACGGAATTCAAACGAGCTGCACATCAGTTTAAGTCTGAGGATAAGACAAAACAATTTGTGAAAGGAAATCTTTATAAGAATAGAAAAATAACTGCCACAGTTTTTGACAAGTTGGATATTTCAAATGAAGAAGATACTTGTAATCAACTCCATTTCTTTTTACTATAAACTGAACCCAAACACCGGGCTTCGTCACCGCGTGAAATCCTATCTTTTCGCCTTATGGAATTTCCTGTCGTTTTCAGTTTCACAATTTGTGACGAGCTAGGAACCGCACTTACTTTTTATAATTTGGCACTTTTCTCTATTTACGGAAATGATGGAACAACAATTTAGACGAGTGGTGTCATTATAAACAAAATAATATCGCTGAGAGAAGGTTCAAGAATAAAACCCGTTGTAGGACACTAAAAATTTAGGATGTGATCTTATTTATTTCAAATAGCTGAAGCTGTTTTCTCGCCAAAAGTTTGTTATATCCACATTTGAAAGTCAAACTCAAGTTATCCATGCATTAAGTGTGATCACTTCCTACATTCAAAGATCCAACGTTCTTTGGCGCCCAACTTTAGTGTTATTGAGCCAAAGGCGTTTTTCTTTCATACTCTCTGGTAGCTATGGTTACGATAGAAACTGCTGGTTTCAAGCCAAGATGATCGTTAATACTAGAAATGAACTTCCCTCTTCCTGTTTGGGCTCTTTGCACCAAAAGCTTAATTGGTAAAATGATACTAGGTGAAAAATTTAACCGAATG